GAGGTCCTTCTAACAGCTACTCCCTGATTTTATAAGTAAAAGAAGGCCCAAAAAGATTGGTTCATGGTCACTCACTTACTGAGTCCTTTCTTTTTCCTAACTCAAGTTGTGCCCTTGTTCACTCATGCTCAAGCTCTCTCTCAGCACTGGAAGAAATATATGAACTCCTCTTAACACCACTTAAATCTATACTCAGACTATAACTCTAGCTGGAATAACAATGATACTTTAAGTAAAAGCTCGTCATCATTCATTCAGCATTTATTTACTGAGCCCCTATTATGCACCAAGCATCATACTCCATTAGCCAGAAAACTCTATTAACTGGCATCTGTGCTTATTGGTAAAATTGATGTCCATAATACCCTAAAGGGTCCACAAACCAGCACACAAATCTGGTCTGCTGCCTATTTTTGTAAATAAAGTTTTGTTAAACAATGCCATACCCATTCATCTATGTACTGTCTATGGCTGTTTGGGGGCTACAATGGAGAGTTGAGTATTTACAACAGAGACCATATAGCTCACAAAGCCTAAATTATTTACTATCTGGCCCTTTACATAATAGGTCACTGACTGACCAATATAAAATACCAATATGTCACTGGAGTCTCAAAACACTACACATGATATATTTTTAATAGTGGCAACACCTAACATGCAGTAAATAATTTTGTTATTCTTTGAAAATTACCAATCCCATATCAACCATATTCTTTGAAAATTACCAATCAAATATCAACCAATCCAATATCAACCACCAATAGCTGTGTGACCTTGGAAAACTCACATCCATATCCCATATGTGGTAACATTCCACTCCTTGTAGCATATTCCCATAACCAATCATTTCAGAAAACAGCATTAACATACTTCAACTGATAAAAACTAGTGTTTTCCAGAAGTCATGAAACCTTGATAATCTTTAATCCCAGCTAGCTCCTCACAAGGTAACAGTTTCAGAGTGAACAGTCTCATTATTTTCAAAGTCCGTCCTCACATAGAAGTTAATTCTGTGAACAGATCTCTAGTTCCACTATATATCTAGTTTTGCTATGTATCTTGAGGTTTCCTACCAATAATTCAAGCATAAATAGAAGCTAGTTTTATTCCTGAATAAGAAAGACTGTTTCAAACATACTTCCTGAAGATGCTCAGCATTTTGTGGGGCTTTGCTGGCTGTACATAATCCTGGACTAGTGCCTTCAAGGAAAAATATAGACTCTAGATTTCTTCCCTGGGTAGAATCAAAGAGCCCACATCTACAAGGAAATACTTTCTTTATTTCAGTCCAACTGCAATATGTCCTCAAAATACCTCTTTAAAAATATTTTATAACCCACAAGCTTTAGAATTTAAACAAATTAAAGAATGTGGGATCAGACAAGACTTCAGAGATCACTAAATCCAAATATCTTAACTTACAGATGAGAAAGATGAGGCTTACATGATTTACCAAAGGGCCAACTAGTTTTCATTAATTTATATTGGCCTCAAATCAGAAAGTTATACTGACGTTCTGTTTATAAGCCAGGCAGTGTGCTGGGGGCCAAGATTATATATGAGTCTTAGTAAATAATGAATTCATTTAATCTAAATCAGTGAGATTTTTTGCAATGAAACAGACACATCAGGAGAATCAGATAAAATTCCTTAATATAAACTGTTAAAAACCTTACTTTTCCTACAAAGAGAACTCTTTTCCTTTAGGGAGGCAGTTCAGTGTATACGTTAAGTATACTGGCTCTGGAGGTAGGCTACGCATTTTAGACTCCTGATGTTGACTCTTTCTGGCTGTATAACCCTACAGCAATTTACTTAAAAGCTCCGTGTTTGTTTCCTAATCTTTAAGGGGATAATCAAATTCTGTAAACAATCCTTTCATGGCTGGTACATGTACGTGCGCTATAAATGTTAGGCACTATTATTTTCCTTAGGGAGTTTTCTTAACAAAACAGAAGAAAGTAACCAAGATATGGAGAAAGTGCCCTTTAAAAAGCAGCTATTAAAATATAATTACAATCACTGTAGTAAAAGTTGATTAAATATAAAAGGTAGAGAGGAAAAAATAGTCCTTCCAAGGGCAATTTATAAGTTAAATCCTACTTAAAATACGTGCACGAGTTTTACCTTTAATATTAAAAACAAACTTTACTGAAGTCCATTCTCAAAATCTTTCAAGAAAGAAAATGGTTAAGCACTAATGTCACAGTGTTTCTCGATTTCACTATGGGTCAGTCCTAGGTAGATTAAATGACTGCTTAAACACGACTGCCATGGCCACAGTGGTGTGCCTCAATAAGCTGCATCCTAGAATCCAACAAATATTTGGATTTTACTTTAAAATAATTACTAGTATTTTTACTCAAAGATAGCCTTTTTAAAAAGTTACGCAGTAAGAAGAATACGTGGCACTCTCTCCCTTGCAAGGGACTATATCAAGTTGGAAAGCCAAGCCAGAGTGACAGAACAGAGGATCTTAATAGCTGTGTGACCTTGGAAAACTCACTGAACAGGTCTCTAAAATTCATTATCTCATCTATAAATTGATGCTAACATCTACCTCTCAGATTTGGAGGTGGTGAAAGAAGGAGGGCAGCAGAGGAGATAAACTAGGATTTATATGAAAATGCTTTGAGAATGGCTCATACACATGTATACATTACTGGTCCTCATCCTCTTCTCCCATAGGCAGTGGGAGGGGAGGCCATATAGCAAGCTAAGGTTAAACTGCAATCTGTGTTGGGGTACATAAGCAAGCCTTGGTCATTGTTCCTATTTTAGGTTGTTTCTGGAAATGTAAAACCTTATTACAGTCCCAGATTTTGTTTTTTAAATACAGGACTCCAGAGATCACCATAATTCATGAAGACACATTAAGGCCAAGCATCCTCCTGCTTAGCACCCTCAAACTCATTACAAAGTTTTTTTTGAGTTATACCTATTTATATATTTCTTCCCTCCACCAGCACAGACTGAATGCTGCCATAACGTGTGATGGTAAAATGTCTTTAAGAAATCTTTAGAGATATTTTAAAAAATTAATCCTATTTATGTAATCATTATAAAAATCTGTTCTTCCAAAGCTGAAAAGAACTTTGATGAAAATCCCAGTAGTACTCAAAGAAAAATTTTAAATTTCAAGCTTGTATCACTTGATACTAGATGGAGCCTTACAAACTATTAAGCTCATAAAGGAGGAAACTTAATCTATTCTAAGTATGGAAGGATAGAAGTGTCTGGGGCCTCTAAGTACACTCAGTCACATACATTGATCCAGTGTCAAAAGCAGGGTCAAAAAAGGGTTAAAAAAAAAAAAAAGCATGGTGCAACCTCAGCACATCAGGGACATCAAAAATGAACAAAACTGTCACTTTTGTTTCACTACAAACAGAACCATCTAAGTAATATCTAATGCATAGAAATAACTGGGAGGAACTTATAAATGAAAACAAAGTTCAGGAATCTTAACCTTATAATGGCAGTATTTGAAGTCTTTTTTAGAGTCATTAAAAAATAATCCGCTTCAATGAGGTCACATTAAGTCCATTTTAGTTTAGCAATTAAGAGTAATTTGTTTAAATTAGTAAACTTAAAACATTTTCTGGGATTTTTTTTTTTTTTTTTGCATTTGGATCCTAATCCATCTCTGCCCTATAAATATCACTTATGTGGACACTAATTCAATTTTCAAAAAGAGAATTCTAATAAAACATTTTCTAATTCAGTTAAGAGAAATCACAAAAAGTCACCGTGCTGTTATCACTTTACAAGTATTATCTCATCAGTCCTCCCCATAACTCTAGGAAGGAGGCATTATTATTTCTATAATATCCACTGTGAAGATGAAGAAACTAAGGTTTATAGATATCGAGGAACCTGTTTAAGATTACAGGGCCGTGACTGAACCCAGGTTAATATGCAGTAGGGACTTTCAGTCACATTAAAAATGAGGTAAAAACTAATTTTTCAATGAGCTCCATGTAATAAAGAACATCAAGAATCCTATATATACTAGATTGGCAGCAATTTATAAAAATAGGTAATTCTTCTCTATCTAAACATTTTTATTAAAAGCAGACCCTGTCATGTAGCATTGGACTTCTTTGTTTCCTTTTCCTGTTTTTACATGTACATAAAAATAGTCTTGAGACACCAATACCAAAGTTTTAAAATTTAACCTTCATTTTATAAGCAAACGTCAATATCTCGCATTTAAAGAATATGAAAGAAATGTCTTCTGTAAATGACTCAGGAGCTAAGCCTGCAAAAATGTGAATCTGTGATTTATTCTCCCTCCATGTCCAATACGCCCACCCTCAGAATCAGTAAAGAAACATACCTAACTTCCAGAGAGCAGAGGAGCTACAGAACAGAATTGAGACATTAGACCATTTCTCCTTATTACAATCATTTGGCTGAAGGGACTGGACTAGTAAGGTGTTCTACTGTCCTTTACAAATTTCAGAATTATAAGTGACAGTTAAAAAGGCATTTGCAACACGAGTCCATTGTACCCGAAAAAGCTGAAATCAAATAAGAACATTTGTCACGATTACCCGGTCTCAATTTCTAGCTTCTCTGTCAATTACACAAAGAATCAGCTATTAAATATTAATGGCATGCCATTTGCACTGGAGCTCTTGCAAAGAGCCTCCTGCTAGCAATTTTTGTTATGAAAGAAAAACCGTCCTTTTTTTCTAGGTAAACCTCAAGCCTCTAGAATCCCTCAGATGGGCTACCGCATTTTGTCCTACCCATGGGAGGCTGTCAGGGCCACCTCCACATCCTGGGGAGAAAGGGCTCTGGGGAAGGCGGGTCCCCACAGGTATCGGGGCCGGGGTCCCCGTTCCCCTTCTCCCCCAGCTGTCAGCGACAGGTCCGGCGGCGGGGCGGGGCCAGGCCCGACTGTCCGCACAAAGCGAGCGGGCGGGCGGGCGGACCCTGACCGGGACCGGGGTGGGGGCCGAGCGGGGCGGAGCGAGGCAGGGGACACTTACCCAGCAGCAGTACGTTCTTCCCCGCGGGGAGCTTGGAGCGCGAGCGGGTGGAGACCTCGCTGAGGATGCAGGACCTAGCGGGGAGCAAAGGCGCACGCTGAGGCGGGGGACCGGGGCCCCCCGCGGGAGGGACCGACCCGGCCTCGGCGCGCTTGGGCGGGGGCTGCCGAGAACGTAGTGGCCTCGGCAAGGGATGCCGAGGTGTCCGCAGGGCCGGGAGTGTCAGCGGGGACCCAGGGAAGGGTGGGGTCGTTACCAAAGGTTCTGCCCGTCCTCGTCGTCTCCCGCCGCGGCGCCGCCGTTGCCCGATGTTAGCTCGTTAGCCAAGGGGCCCCCTGTGTAAGTCGAGGCTAATCCCGGCGGAGAGGAACCGAAGGAGCCAACTCGCCCCACAGCCGCCATCTTGGTCGGGAATCACACCACTCCCGGCAAAGCTGAATGAGCGAGGCGGCGACGGCGGCGGCGACGGCGGCGGCGGCGGGAACCCGGATATGGAGCATTCGGCACACGGGAGCGGGGCGTGGTCTGCGGGGGCGGAGCCGCGGGCTCTGAGGGGACTGACGGAATGAGGGAGGACGCACCGCGCGTGCGCTGCTGTCCGTCGACCGCGCGTAAGGAATGCGCGTGCGCGGGCAGCCCCGCAGGCGGTTGTGCTGTGTTCCCCGTTCTACAGGACTCAGTTTGAGAAGTCTCTTGCTTCCTCCACCCGCAGCCTTGGGCTGCAGCAGAGCGGGTTGGGGTGTGTCAGGTGAGCAGTGCTCCCTCCCACTCTTCATTCGGGTCTACAAACCCCGCAATCGGCGTGGAATTCCTGCACTCTCATTGCCGTCCCACCCCGCACCCCCATTCAGGCTGAGCGGCGGCGGTCCCCCGCCTACACCGGCACTTCACCCGCGCCAAGATGGAAATGGGCCGCCCCGCTGCAAAAGAGGCTTTGTGCAGTTCGAGTCCGGAGTGTTACTGGGGTCCCGGGATTTCTGGGCTCTCTACTTTGCATTCTCACGTGGCGCCGTGTTCCTCAGTCTTGGCCCCACATCTGAAGCAGATTCCCCCGGACCCTAAGTAGCTGCGTGACAGAAAAAGTATTGACGGGGCTTTCTTTAATAATAGCCTCTGTGTTTTCGTATGAGATGCCCCGCGTGAGATTTGACAAGACCCACTAGGTGAGTCATCCGATATACATCCGTTTATTCAGCACTTACTATGTCAGGCACAGTTGGCACTGGGCATACACAAATGGAAAAGAACCTAAAGTAGCCCTAAAATAACTCTTTTTCTATCAAAACTTGACTGGTTAAATTGATTTGAATGTCTGAGCCCCACCTCCAGAAAGAGTTGATGGTTTTTGTTTTTGTTTTTGTTTTTAGATTTTATTTATTTGACAGAGAGAGCACAAGCAGGAGAAACAGCAGAGGGAGAGGGAGAAGCAGGCTCCCCATTGAGCAGGGAGCCCGATGCGGGGCTGGATCCCAGGACCCTAGGATCATGACCTGAGCTGAAGGCAGACGCTTGACCGGCTGAGCCACCCAGGCAACCCAAGAGTTGATGGTTTTAAGGCTTGTCCTAGTGCATCTTGTCAGAGCCTTTGCTTAAAATAGTGTGTCCCTTTGTACATTATTGCTGTCGTATTTGAAGATCACTAATCTAATATGTGATCTGATCATTGTTGTTAGGCTAGTGAGAAAATCCATAGCTAAAGACTGTTTTTTTACAGGTTAACAGTGCAGGTAGAAGCCTAGAAGGCTTTGGAGGCTGGCAAATCTGAGTTGAGATTCAGCTCTGTCAGCAACCATAGACCATTTCCTTAACCTCTCCCGAGTCTCAGTTTCCTTATCTGTAAGATGGGGATAAAAGGACCCAGAATTTTTATGGAGATTACATGGGATGATTCTTGTAAAATGGCTTAGAACAGTGACTGACAAATCTTGAGTGCTTGATACACGTTTATTTTTAATGACTAATGTTTTCCTTTACCGTTCAAACCATTCATATCTGACCAACCCCTAGAATTGATAGGCCTAATGAACTCCGCAGCTAAAACTCTTCATTTTTTGTTAGTTTGTTTATATGGTTAGGAAGGGAACCAGAACCCAGTCTTGGGATCCCAGGCTTTCTTTGGTGACACGCGGGATAGGGACTTCTGGGGGAACCTGGGTATTTAAGTCACTGCTATAAAGGAGAGCTGTTTACTGCCCTGGGCCCCCCTCTGAGAGTTGATTCACTCTGTACTTTACTCCCTCAGTCATCTTTTCTTGTCAGAGCATTGTTTTCCCCAATTTTGTTTGTATGCAGAGTTGTTAGTTCCATTATTATATTTACTTAACCTGGGAAGTATTAACTTTATACTGGTGTCAGGCTTCTAATGCCCCATGACTTTTAGATGTCCAGCTACCCACTTATACCGAGGTCAAAGTTGTATTACTTGTGGTTTTATAATATTCCCTATCCAGCATTGTTCTATTAAGATGGCTGACAAGGGGCGCCTGGGTGGCTCAGTCGTTAAGCGTCTGCCTTCGGCTCAGGTCATGATCCCAGGGTCCTGGGATCGAGCCCCGCATCAGGCTCCCTGCTCCGCGGGAAGCCTGCTTCTCCCTCTCCTACTCCCCCTGCTTGTGCTCCCTCTCGCTGTGTCTCTCTCTGTCAAATAAATAAAAAAAATCTTTAAAAAAATAAAAAAAATAAAATAAAATAAAAAAAAGATGGCTGACAAAAGTGGTTATTTATGATACCTACTAAGTGTCAGGCACACTATATGTTATGGTTTGTAATCCTCATACTTTGTAAAGAATCAGCGAAATTAAGTAATTTACCCCACAGGTTGAAAGTAGATAATTGAGATTTTGACCTCTAACCTGTCAAAGGGCCTAGGTCAAATGACATTAGAATAAATGTCCTGGCAACTTTTGATACTGTTATGGTAAATATCTTCTATAGAAATCTCTACATAACAAAAATAGAGAACATTTGTAGTATGAGGAAATCTATAAAAGGAAAGATTCCAGCAATCCCTTGGAATTTTTGTTATATAAATGCTACTTACAATTGAGCTATTTCCTATACTATGATTACTTTTCTTTCTTCCCCAACTTTTTGTTACATCCAAAATTAACAACTGTCTTGGTTTTTCATTTGCTTAGATTTCTATGCCCTTAATTTTCATTCAGTCTCAAATTCTTGTCCCAGTTGTTTAAAACCTCTCATTAGGTATTTGAACAATTTCATCTTAAACACATCTTTAAGAACTTTCTTTCTGCTTCAATTTGAATTGGTTCTTCTGTGTGCCTAATACAGAACTGTCATCATGGGATCTTCTCTCACCATTGTTCTGGGGGATTTCCTTTGCCTCATTCCTGTGCCTTCTCTTATTTTAGTGGAGAACTTCCTCAAATAGTTTTGTGAAAAAGGGTGTATGGTTACATTTTTGGAGATATCCAGCCAGGGTCTAGCTAGGGAAAAAATGGCATTCTTGAGGCAGTGCGAGATGAAAGCTCAACAACTATTTACAAAGGTGTGAACAGTATTGAGATGGGGCTAGGAAGACCAGGAAGATTTAGACCTGAAGGGGAAAGAGGAAGGAGTGTTTACTAGAATCCAGAAAGAGTTGCAGTTGTAGGAAAGAATTTCTCAATAAGGTCTGTGACTTCAGTAAAGGAACACAGCACTGACTTCTCTCTTTCTGCCCCCGGTATCTTGCCAGTGTCTCATGTTGGCCAAACCCAACCAGAAGCTGGAGGACAAGAGAATTCAAGTGAAGCAGTCCATGCAGGTCTACCTCCCAGAGCACAAAGAAGGATAGAGAAGAGTGGAAAGTAGATCTGGAGGGGCAAACGGAAGATATCCAGCACACATTACATGTTTGAAAATACATTTAGTCTATACTCAGTGATAGTTTGGCTGAGTATAGAGTTCTTATGTTGCAGATTATCTTCCCTTAGGTTTTTTGTTTGTTTGTTTGTTTTTAATTTTTATTTATGAGAGAGAGAGAGCACAAGCAGGAGGAGTGGGAGAGGAAGAAGCAGACTCTCCGCTGAGCAGGGAGCCCGATGTGGGGCTCGATCCCAGGACCCTGAGATCATGACCCGAGCCAAAGGCAGACACTTAACTGTCTGAGCCACCCAGGCGCCTCTTCCCTTAGGTTTTTACCTTGACCCCTTGTCTGCTGGATTCTAATATTGCCACTGAGAAATTCAAAGACATTATGATTCCTAATCTTTTGTTATATGTTCTTCTTTTCCCCTCTTTGGAGGCCTCTAGAACTTCCACAGATTTTCACTAACACATTTACCCCTCCCCCCGTCTGTAGTTTCATACCAATTTTCCTCCCAATTATCACAGAAGAATAATCTATACTCTTAAACTAAAGCAATCTTTCCACTTACACATTAGATTCCATCTCTTCTCCTCAACTCTAGGACATTGCTCCAACAATTCTCCCCCCTTTCTTTATATAATCATTTATTGATCTCCACTAGATCATTTCCCTTGCATACCAACATGCTATTCTCCCATTAAAAAAAAAAAAAAGAAATCTCTCTTAATCCTACTTCTTCACCAGCTACTGCTACATTTCTTTCCTCTCTTTGATAGCAAAACTCTTTTTTTTTTTTTAAAGATTTTATTTATTTATTTTGACAGAGAGAGACACAGTAAGAGAGGGAACACAAGCGGGGGGAGTGGGAGAGGGAGAAGCAGGCTCCCCGCTGAGCAGGGAACCCGATGCGGGGCTTGATCCCAGGACCCCGGGATCATGTACTGAGCCGAAGGCAGACGCTTAACAACTGAGCCACCCAGGTGCCCCATACAGCAAAACTCTAAAATAGTTGTCTTTATTTGGTGTCTTCAATTCCTCCTTCCCCTTACCCTTATAACCCACTTCAATCACTTTTACCCCTCTGACTCCACAGAGACTGCTTTTATACCTGTGATCAATAACCTCCTTTTTGCTAAATCCAGTGGTAAATTCTCCATCCTTGTCTTTCTTAACCCATCAGCAGCACATGGTACTCCTTATGGATATGTGTCTTCACATGGCTTCCAGGTCAGCATGTTCTCCTGGTTCTTTCCCTGCCTCACTAGCTGCTCCTTCTCAGTCTTCACCATTTCCTCATTTTCCTGACCACTTAATGCTAAAGGACTGCAGGGCTAGGTCTTTGTTCCTCTTCTCCATCTATACTCCCTTGGTGATCTCATCCAGTCTCATTACTTTAAATCTCAAATGTATGATAAAAACTCCCAGATTTATCTCTCTAGCCCAGAGCTCCATGTGGAACTCCATATTAATATATCCAACTGCTTATTCCACATCTCCACTTGGATATCTAATAGCACGTTTCACACTCAACGTGTTCCAAGCTGATATTCTGACCTTCCCAAGAAAAGGCTCCTCAACCCCAAGACCTTCCCACTGGGTAGCAACTCCTTTTTGCCTGAGTCATTCTTGACTTCTCTATTTTTCTCACACCCCACATTGAATCCATTAGGAATCCTGTAGTCTCTACCTTCCAAATATACCCACAGTCCAACTTCTTATCACTCATCCACT